ACACACACACACACACACACACACACACACACACACAGAGAGAGAGAGAGAGAGAGAGAAAGAGAGAGAGACTAATGTTTAGTGGTCATTTAGCGAGACCAGCTGTCCCCATTTGCAGCGATGGTACGCGGCGATAGATAATTCTTTTTCTCCTAAAAAGGAAAAAAAACACACAGGAAACTCCGGTTTTCTTCCCCTCTGTACTTTAACTTAAACTCTAAGTTGTAATGTACTCTAAATATACAAACTGAGTGAAGCGCAAACCCATAGTTCACTACTTTGTCAAGTTTCTTGTCTGCAAGTTCCCTTTTTTTTTCTTCAGCGCTTAGCAACAGAAAACATAATCATTCAAAGTGAAGATGAAATAATTACAAACTCAAATTACCTTAACTCGATGATAATTGCAGGCCACGCTAGAGCAGAGAACCGCGACGATCTCACAAAACACAATATGCCTTCTTTTTTTTGTTTTCCTGTCGCTGAAATACCGCTTCGAGCTGCAAATTCAACAAAGCTTTGCCGGCTGCATGAGCAGCGCCAGCTGCGCCCACGACAAGCATCTGTACAGCTGCTCCCGACGAAACACAAATGATATTTGCAGTCGGCTGCGTAAGGAAAGGGAAGATGAACGCGTTTGCTGGAAACAGAACGTGTAATTTGCTCACGCTGTCACACAAAAAAAAGAAAACTTGCATGTGTCACACAGATTGGGTGCTGAGCGACTAACGACAGTTGCACTTTGACTTTTCTTTTGTTTTTTCATCATCAACGTGAGAGAACAAGGACACCGGGACAGTGTTTAGAAAAATTTTTTTCTCTTCCGCTCCAAAACTCAACAATCCGGAAGTTTGGAAGTAAGCGAAAAAGCGATGCTTACATTGAACACATTCTCAGCATATATTTATTTACCGGGCTTGATTTGAATGCGTTAGGACGCAGGACCGACATTATGTATAACAAAAGGGAAGCCGGGTAAAACGTGTGCATAGCATCGCATTGTCAGCAGCAGAGTAATAATATTAGGTTTTTTAGAATTACGCATCTATGCATTTTCCACTAAAGAAACACATGACCTAATACTGACGTGTTGTCGCGCCTCGTATTTGCGTAGTATTAGTTTTTTCATCAACAATGTGCACAAGTATATGAGCGCAGCCACGAGATCAAGATTGCTGGGCGTTGAGTAAGAGCTTCAACTTTCGCCGGGGGGAGGGGGGGGGGCAGGGGGCTGGGAAGGTAGGCTGAATTGGCTGACAGACATGCAGACAGAAAGGCATACATAAATTTTATGTTGAAGTATCGAAGAAAGACTGTCATGTTTAATATCGTCTTTGAAGAAAAAAAAAGAACAGGATAGCTTGCGACTTAAAGACATCTTTGGTGAATTCGGAATGCTCTGCGAGTTTTCTTAAGAATGCGACGAAAGGGAGTTTCGTAATCCGTATACTACCATCTCAGCGAATTCGCAGAAAATGCGTGAGTTCGTAGACGCTTTTACAATGCTTTAAGTGTAGGTATGGGGGTTCTATCTTGTTTTTCTAGACAAACAATAACACGAGCCAATGCAGGGGGTTCAACGTAACATCTATAAAATGTAAGAAAAGCAGAGGAGCTTGTACGACCGACCAGTCTGCTCTGATCGAGTGAGCGTGCGATTGATTGAGCCAGTGAATGAGAGGGTTCGTATGCTTAGTCGAGTAGAAAAACACATGAACGAGTAATTAAAAAAAGCTATTCTTTGATAATAGGTGAATCAGTCAGACGCTGAGCAAGTTGCAAGCGAACTAGTTACTAGACGTGTTAGAGAACTGAGTGAGCATGCAAGTGAGATAACTATTGAGTGGGGAAGAACAAATGAAGGAGTATGGGGGGGGGTGATGAAATTAGGGCGGGATCATTGAAGTTGACGAGTGAGTTGCTGAGAGTGGGTGACTGAGTGAGTCTGCAGAGCGAATGATTGGAATCAGTGAGTGAATTAAAAACAACTGAATAGAATTTCGTGACTTATTTTTGTTAGTCAGTGAGTGAGTGAGTGATTGATTGAGTGATTGATTGATTGATTGATTGATTGATTGTGTGAGTGAGTGAGTGAGTGAGTGAGTGAGTGAGTGAGTGAGTGAGTGAGTGAGTGAGTGAGTGAGTGAGTGAGTGAGTGAGCAAACGTGGTGTCGGGAGACAGGAAGTAGATTGATACTAGGGTGCTGCACGCTCTCACAACAAGCCGTCTGACGGAAAAGCCCGAAGCGTGACGCAGGAGTTTACGAACGCGAAAGCTTCCTCCGAAATACCAGACACAACCCTCAAAACGTTTGTGTATTCGCAGAAGATGTATCACCACGCATACCTCCGATGGAGCGGCAAGATTCGTGTAAACACTCCACGTTGGTTACCGCCGACTAGGCCGGATATAAACAGGACGTGTTGTTTCTCGCAGTCGGAGCGTGCCTTCTTCTCCCATTATATAAGAACCTGCTCGAACCCACATATGAGCAAAACGCGGACGCGTTAGGTGGCAATTGCCACCTACCAGCGTTCTGAAGATCACCACTCGCCCTTACGCATGTCTCGGGCTGGCAGCATCAGGAAAAAACACGCCGACTCAGACGGCAAGAAAAGAGCATTCTTCTCCGAACGACTGATTGAGACGCAGAAGAATGCTGTTTAAGAGAATTTTATTTCTGAAAAAATCATACATACACAGAAGGCATTTATGTGTTACATTGTTCGTTCTCGAGACACTGCTAATATATCTTATTATAGATTCTAATGCACAACAGGAATTGTTTGTACCTGTAAACAGAAATTCTAACGTGCATAAAGAAAACTATGCTCAGGAGTATACGTACAATTCATGAAAAGGAACAAAAAACAATATTTAAAAAATGCGTATGAGAATACATAAATACTTATACAATACTAAATGCAGGTTCAGTGAAATCACACACACTAGCCTACCTTCTCACTAATGAAGGCAAGGCATGGACACTTTGTTCTTTCTGAGAAGAATAAATCGTGTTGACCACCGCAGGAGGAAAGCTTCCTCCCCCAGAATGAATAACTGTTCGTTCAGATGTGTTAACATCATGGTTCTTAAGCGGTGTAGCAGAGGAAACATGGCCCTCTGAGGGCGTCTCCGCAGGCCTGCCAGTCCCCTCCGCTTCCACAATACAAAAGCACCAGTACACATTATCAACTCAACAAAAATGTCGAAGCATCAAGACCATTACTTCAATCGACGGCTGCATTCTGTCCTCGAGAACTAAACCGACGACTGACCAGCCATCGAAATGCCGACTGCGCGGCACATGAACGGGATGAATTTTGGAGTCAACACTACTGCGACAACGAAAGCAAGCTTTCGGAACCAGGGTAGAAACGCGTGGAACCTTCTTTCGTGTTAGCATAACAACGCCAGATGCATCACGTAGGAGCGGTAATCACCCAAACAGACTTCGTGAATAGTGCCAAAAGTGGGGTGGCCATGGCATGCGGCAATGATGCAACTGAGAATTTTACGTCATGGTCTCATCTCGATTGTTTCTAGTGTGTAGCATACAGTGTGCCCGTTTTACTGCTTCTGTTCCTCTGAACTGCCTCCGCCTTTTCGTAACAATTTTTTATGTTTGAAACTACTTCGGGCTTTGAAACCTGCGTTGAAGGTAAAAGAGAAAATGACCTCGTAAACTAGGAGTAATTAACGACTCACAGCGCGCATGTTTCGCTACCATTGTGTATATGTGCATGGGTGCCTCTTCCCCTCGGAGCGGACCGGCGTTGTTTGAAATTAGTCTTTCAGTCCCACCAGCACTAGCCAGTGAAGCCGGAAAAAGCACCAGGCTCTCTTTCGGGCTATACAGCGAACGACAAAAAAAAATTGTGACGAAACAAAATAAAAACATTGTAAAACTTTACGTTTCGTGGCTCACACAAAAACAACTCGCGCTCGTCCCTCGCTTGCGCAAGCTCTTGCTATACCTGCATTATTTTTTTTAAGCCAGCCCTGGGCTCCTACGTTCTTGGTAGTAAAGCGCCGCACGTCGTGTTCTGTAAATTCGTGTTTATGCGACTTTTTGCACTCCCGAATCCCAGGCGGTCCGGCTGGGCAGTCTAGCGTAAACAACCGAACCGCTGTTTTGGTAGGAAGAGTAAAATACACACACGCACTTACACGCACACACACACACACACACGCGCGCGCGCGCGCGCGCGCGTGCACACACACACACACACGCACACACACACACACACACACACACACACACACACACACACAAAGAAAATATTCAGCCTGGTTTCGAAAGGTGGGGAGCTAGTGACGGTGAGAAAGAGCAAGATTTTGTAACGGAGAAATACGTTGTTGAAGAGGCACAGGAGCCGGCGGAGCATGAGCAGCTTCGTTTAGATGCCGAGAGTGCAGCCAGCCGGTCTCAAGCCACCAACACACGCATAAAATACAACGTGCGAGCATGTGAAAAATTCGTCAAACGCACAAGTGGACCCCCCCCCCCCCCCCCCACCCTTCGCACGTACGTGGGGTGCTAGCCACCCCTAGCGGCGTGACGAAGAAGCGAACCCCGAGCCGCCCTCGCCAGCGAGAATACGTCCATAGTTTACTTCTGCTGCTTCGGGTGCTCAGTCGCGTCGTCTGCTACTACGGTCTGCTCCGGAGTTCGCCTCCATTGTACCTGTTGCTGCTACTTCCGTCGAAAGCAAACTGCTTGCCGAGTACCGACTTCCGAGATCAGTGCTTTACGGAAACCATTTCGTGAACAATTCATGGAGTTGCTACGTGCCGCGTCGTCCACCGGAGAAGCGGGACGAAGCCCTCTCCACCGACGTCGTCATGAGCGACTCACCATAACTTTCGAACTGCATTTAGATGAGCGGCGGTGTCACCACGCCTCTCGGGTTCGATGCACCCTGGTGTGAAGGACAGTGCGAAGAGCGCCGCGTCGCGTCGTCAACTCGCCCACACGCACTGTAGTTGTACGTACTACATGTCAGCGATTCATGTTGCAACTCGAGACGACTGAATCATTGAATCTCGGCGGATATACCACCTTTCACGCCATTTATTTCATCTTTTTCGATACGTAAATGGGCAATGGCCTTGTGACGCATGTTGTGTAAGTTCATCCGGTACTGTGAACCTTTTCTTTTTTTTCTTTTTTTTTTCGTAACGAATTCATCGTCTCATGTTCCACTCTGCGGGGTCGGGTCAGCACACACGCCCACACGGGAGCGTCTTAACACGTGCGTCCACATAGTGACTGACGTCTGATGCTCCTCCGGCGAATTACGACAGCGAGTTCCTCGACAAATTCATTTCTGGTGCGAGCGTGCAGTGTGTGATTTGGGGTGAGGACAAATTGTGCATTTGTGACGTCATTAAGAAAGGCTATTAACTGATTTTGGGGGATTGATGAATACGTTTGAACTCGCCCCCGCGTGAATGTGTGGAGTGTGGTGAACGACGCGTCCAGTCGACAAACGTAGAAAATCGGCTGTGAAGACGCCTCCTGATCATCATCATGTTGTCCGAACCCAAGCCCTTGCGGCAGGCTTCGAGGTCTTTGAACCAACTTGATACGGTGAGTAGACGCAGTGGCTCATTTTCAGGGTATGACTACTCATATATGTTCTTCATACAGTCGTGTTATGCCATACCTAGTTTGGTATTGATACGATTATCGAAACGGCCAGGAGAGCTAAAAGTTGTAGGTGGGGAGATAGATAGATAGATAGATAGATAGATAGATAGATAGATAGATAGATAGATAGATAGATAGATAGATAGATAGATAGATAGATAGATAGATAGATAGATAGATAGATAGATAGATAGATAGATAGATAGATAGATAGATAGATAGATAGATAGATAGATAGATAGATAGATAGATAGATAGATAGATAGATAGATAGATAGATAGATAGATAGATAGATAGATAGATAGATAGATAGATAGATAGATAGATAGATAGATAGATAGATAGATAGATAGATAGATAGATAGATAGATAGATAGATAGATAGATAGATAGATAGATAGATAGATAGATAGATACGCTCAAAGTCGTTGAAGTTCGCTAGGAAATGCTTCGCATTTAAAAAAAAGTTACACCTAAACGAGTTTACAGCAGTGTACATCAGCCGCCTTATTGACAAGGTTGAAGAACAAGGCATGGTAAATAATGAAAGGATTGAAAAGCGGGATTATCAATGAAAACGAAACGGCTTTTCATTTCAAATATAAAAAATTGGAACGCATCGCAAGAACTTATAACGAAATATTAAACACATAATTTAGGAGAATCAGGTATATGTGAGAAAGAAGCTCCGATAAACGCTGAATATCCTAAAGAAAGAAAAAAATCAACTCGTGAAAACACTTTCCTAGAATTACAAGAAAAACAACCAACACCAAGACAGTGACGCACAAGCCACTTATTTCATCAGGAGTGGAGGGTTAGGTGGCTTCTGTTGTAATTGTAAGGACCTTATCACTGCTAGTGTCAATGACACGCAAATTATAAACTAAAAGTTCGAGGTCCCTCGTAGAACCGTTAAGTTTGGCTAAGGGATAAATAGAAATCTCGCCCGGTAAAATTTTTAGGAAGTTTAGGTTTTATTACAAAAAAAAAACTTGGGACACAAACATAACCTTGTTTGATGAAAATCACCAGCATGATAATCCTTGCACTAAGAAATATTTTAATAATAACCTTCAAGTATCATATGGCTAAGGACAAAGTGTTGTAAAGAAATTATTTACTTAGGGACGGCTTGCTGCTCTCCCATGGGTGAGTATCAAGTATTCAAAATCGTTAAACACTTCTTCTAAACACACTAAGATTTTACCAGACTAAGACAAAGTGCTCCCGTTGACGTCCCTGCATGTTCTACGTCCAGGAACGTCCTCCTCATCTAGCCGTGGTGCCTTCAACGCCGTGGACGCCTTCAACGTTGTTGTCCCTGCGGGGACTAGTCCGGAGACCGTCGTGTACGCGACGGCCTCAATAGTTGATCTCTCAGAGGTACACTGCGTTCAGCACATGGGAGGCATGAACGTCCAAGTAACTGTCAACAGCATGGCTTCTATGATTCTCACCGTCGACGCTGGCTACCTGACCATCGGTGGCGAGTGTATTCCTGTCGTTCCCGTCGGCCTGCAGGTAACTAACGTTGCTTGTCTGTTTCTACCAGCCTTCGTCTCCAACGAGGTACTCGTCCAGGCTTTGTCCCCATACGGCAAGGTGTTCACTGTAACCGCTGGCTTCATGAGCACACTACGTGGAGTTCTCACAGGCACACGCTTTGTCAGAATGAAAATGAGTGCCACAAATCCCGTCTCCAACTATCTTCGCGTTTCTGATCATCGAGTCACCTTCGACTACCGCGGTCTGCAACGTGTTTGTCATTGGTGTGACTTTAGTAGTCATTATCGAGCACAGTGCACAGCACCATTCCGTGGTCGCTGTGGTATGCACGGACACGAAAGTGAAGGTTGCGACCACTCCCTGCCGACGCTGTGGAGATGGCCACCCTAGCACTGTCTGCCCTGTGCGTCGTTCATATTCAGATGCTGCTGCGGGGACCTTTCCTGCGCTACCGTCTGTGGTACCAACGGCAACAGATGAATGAGAACCCGGAGCTGTACAAGAAGAACGCCAGAATTCGATTCTGATAGCTACATTAAACGACGAAGAAGACGGCTGCAGCTTGGCCAACCCGAGTGCGCCATGTTTACCAATCTCACCGACAAGAAAAGCCACCGTGGTTGACCTCGTGTCTGTCCCAGTCAAACATGCCATGCCATGTTCGACGTCGGCCCAAGCCGAGAAAGAAACGCTTGTAGGCACCAACGCATCGGACTCATCGTTAAATCTAGCAGCTGAGTGCTCAGTAGACTCTGACGTTGCGAGGTCTACGGGTGCTGGCGTTTCGCCAGAAACAGAATTGAAACCGAATGAGCACAGCTCATTGACTCATTCCGAAAGCCAGGCTCGCGACTTCCTTGAACAAGTAGCAAGACGCCATGGGAGCTCTTTACTGACGCGTCTCGAAAAGCAATCCGTGATCAAGGTTGTTGGAGGCGGTGACAACGTTGACGCTGCAGCCCTATAACTATCTGATTTGTCAGAAAGCAGCTTCAGCCTCGGAGTCGACAGTAGCATCGGACTCTCTTCTAGACTAGGCGATTGCGACGTGGAAATGCAAGCCCCGCGAGATGTCAAGCGTGCTCACAAGTCTGGCACCAGCTCGGGCGGCACCCAGGATAGCTGCTCCGAGTCCCAGTAACCGAAGAAACGTCGACCCTCTTCTATAGGGTTGAAATGTGCTGTGTAGTGTGTGCACTCCATTTCCCCCGGACAGATCCCCGGGGTACCGAATCGAAAAACATGACCAGGTCAGTCTCTCACATTCATTCAATATGGCTGACACCCTGAAAATCATGTCTTTAAATGTTCCAAGTGTTCCATAACCCAGTAAATCAATCCTAAGGTATCAGCATAGCCCACGCAGAACATTGTGATATTCTGTGTTTACAAGAAACAGTTTTTTTTACCATTGGCCACGTTTGTGCATTCAATCGCGCATTTAATTTAGACTGTTACTTTTCCTTTCGCGACATCTCGCTTCTGTGGAGATGGAATTACTATTTTGAACCGGGTTCTTTACAACAAACATTTTTGATATTTTTATGCTTTTCTCACTTATTCTCCGGCACATCAGCATTCACAATCAATTAAAAAATGTCGCCTGCATCTTTCTATGGTGGGAACCAATGTGGGAACTCGAGTAAATGCGTCGCAGAGTGTTGGAGTATATATCGTGACTGTTGTGCTATCGTATATGTCTTGGAAATGCTTAATTGTTATTTCATCTTCATTATCCTAATTTATTGAATGAAAGAGAAGCGTTGCTTTCAACGTCAAGCGAAAGCCAAGAAAAGACACTTTTGACTGAATTGCTAACGCACGATCCAGTGCCTACATATATGGGGCGGCTAGCAGGGTCGCCAGAGCCTCGAAGAGAAAAAGAGTCACAAGATCGACCAAAGTAGCCAGAACGATAGCCATAACCAGCAGCCGTTATTTTATTTTGTAGCCAGTAACGTAACCGAACGTGATTTCAGTTTAGCTAAATTATCACTACGGTCTGACACATGAAAATACTACATTATACATTGCATCAATGCTTCTCACGTCAAAAGGGAGCCAAAAAAAAAATTGCCCACAGCTTCCCTCGGGGGAACACTGAGGAGGATGCGGAGCATATAATTGGTTAACGGGGTGTTAAAGTGCGACTTACTTGGGTCGATGGCTAAATTGGTTAACGTGGTTGTGAAATGGGGTGTTAAATTGCGACTTACTTGGGTCGATGGCTAAATTGGTTAACGTGGTTGTAGGCGGGGGTGTTAAATGAGTGAACACGTACACACGTATGCGAAAAGGTGGCGCTGGTCGAAGGGACGTCGATCATTGTGTTTGTGGATTCGTTGGAATTCATTTCACCGCGACCTTGGACGTCGACGCGCCGTACAAACCAACCGACGAGCGGCAACTGAGCGAGCGAGCGCCGACCTTGAGTATATATACAGCGCGACGGCGCATGCACTGTCAGCTATCGAATGTTCGAGAAGGGGGAGAAGCGCAACGGCGCATGCGCGCGCGTCAGCTGCCGATGTTCTCGAAGCGCGACGGCGCATGCGCGCGCGTCAGCTGCCGATGTTCTCGAAGCATGACGGCGCATGCGCGCTACATTATACAGCTAGCGAATGTTCGTGAAGAGGAGAAGCGCACGCGGTGTGTAGAGGAAGAAGGGTGCACAGATGGTGGAGGAGTGAAGCGCGCGCGGTGTGTAGAGGAGGAAGGGATGCACAGATGGTGGAAGAAGGAGGAGGAAGCTTGCGGACGGCGCCGCACTACAAGCCTCGAGTATTAGATGCTCCGCATCTAAAAGGTGATTGACGAGCAAGCAAGCGCGCCCAGTCCGGCGTCTTTCGGGCCAAAGAGGGCTCGTTCTCGTGTCCTCCGACAGATAAGTTGCAGTGCAGCCTGGGATAACTTCCACGCATGATAATCAAAGCATAGCTACTTAATCCGCCCTTTGTTCGCATAGCAGCCACACGTTCTTAACATTGCAGACGTAGCATAGATTGTTTGCGCTTCTTGTGTGTCCAAAGTAGACGCCAACAAAAACACGTCTCAAATACGTACGTGTATATTTGAACGAAAGCGTCCCTAGGTGACTGATCTAACTTGGGCACGAGCTTGGCGCGTATATAAACAGAGGCAATCGGCCAAGGTCACAGATTCGCTGTCTCTAGCTCAAGTTCCCCGACCGCATTCGGCGCCCGCCCAAGAAAACTCTTCGAGGCATCGACGAGGACGGTGGGGAAGTTCGGCTGTGTTCCCTCGGTGGAAAGAATCTGAAAACTCTTGCTAGGAAGACTCGAGTTCTCGCTTCCCGAACGCGGGCGACAATCGCTTTGCTAGAGAAACTGCGATGCTCGAATGGATTCATCTCAGTGAAAACCATAAAGGTGGTGCTCCGAGAGCCAAATTGAAATGCTCCCACCTTCCC